CATAACGCTGATCCGTTTCAAGTAGATGTTGACACTCTGGGTCCGTGAGTTGGTAAGTGTAGAKACTTGCATTTGTAATTGGATTCTCCATTTCTGATACTKGTGGTAAATTGAGCAAGCACTCGTATAGTTCTGGTTCCAAGTAGAATACATCTTCTGGATCCTCTTGAGCTACCAACTCTTTGAAATTCACTACTGTTCCTTTCTTCTTCTCATAAATTTTCTGTTCTTTGTCCCCGACAGTGCACTGATCCATTCTGGGCACTCAAGAAAAACAATCGGCAAGAACATTCTTTTTGCCTGGCATGTATTCCCAGTTGATATCAAAGCCTTCTAGGCTAAGTTTCCATCTTAGAACCCGGGATTGAGACAGGGTCCGGACGATGAGATTCTTGTGATCAGTGTAGATGTAGATTTTGCCACCGTAGAGCATAATTCGATACTCCTTGAGGCATAGGATGATAGCTAGAAGCTCCTTTTCCATCGTGGTGTAATTCATTTGCGTTTTGTTTAGCTTCTTAGACCAGTATGCAATCGGTTTGTCATTCTGGAGTATTGCTGCACCCAATTGATAATCAGATGCATCAGTGTAGATATGGAAGGGTTTGTTCAAATCAGCAAAGGTGTTGATAGCATCATGTGCAAGGAGAGCTTTCATCTCTTGAAATGCCTGATTACATGCTGGCGTCCACACATAGGGCCCTGAGCCAGTGAGTGCAGTTAGTGGAGCCAACACATGTGATTGGCGCGGCCACATGGACTTGTAATAATTGACTGCACCCAGGAAGGATCTGACCTGTGATTGGTTTTGTGGAACTCCCATCTTGAGGATCCCATCTACTTTCTTTTGCCATGGCTTGACTCCAGTAGGCRTGAGCCAAAAGTCAAGGAAATCAGACTCTTTCACTGCCCACTCGCACTTGAGTGGATTGCATTTCATACCATTGCAAGCCAATTGTTTCAAGACTGGGTCAACCAACAAAAGGTGTTTGCTGAATGGTCCGCGGGACCAAATGCCCATGTCATCAATATATACTTCAACATCTAGACCAGATAGGATCTTTGTGATGAAGGCTTGAGCATAGTCGGGAGATGATTTCAATCCCATAGGCAATCGTAGGCATCTGTAGTTGCCATGTGTGATAGTGAGAGTGCATATTTTCTGGCTCTCCTTGTCTAGCTCAAAGCAGTAGAACATCATGGATAGATCAATCTTGGTAAAGTGATCATATCTGGTTCTTTGGTTCAAGATGTCCTGAATCTTGGGGAGATTGAACTAAAGTCTCTTTATCCTTTTGTTCAATTCTCTGAGATCAACGAGCCATCTTACTCGTCCATCYTTCTTTGGAATGATGAAGGCAGGGAAGCCCCATTCCGAGTTGCCAGTGGGTGCAATGACTCCTTCATCAACAAGATGCTGGCATTCCCTCTTGAACACATCCTTGTGTCTGTAAGGAACTGGGTATGGATTTATGTAAACTGGTTCTGCATTATCCTTTAGATCAATGTGGATCTTCTCATGAGGATAGTGACCTAGTTTGCTGTCAAACAACTCTGTGTGTTTGGCTAACATCTCTTTGAATGCTAGGTCTTTCTGAACTGTTCATATGCTCCTGATGGTTTGCAACCTCTTCTGGAGTTACTCGCTGGTACTTGGCATCGAGTATTTGATTTGGCTGTGTACTTTCAGTACTGGGAGCCCTGGCAGCATCTGCTGCTAAATAACTGTCCGAACCGATTGCACATCTGCAATTTTGTGGTTGGCAGCTTGGAGGAAGTAGGGGACTGTTCCTGGTGGAAGGCAGCAATCGTGAATAAGGCACATCGTACTCCCACTGTCTAATAGAACCTTGAATGTGTTCATCGTCGGTAGGTCTTGGATGGCCTTACATACTAGGATCACCGCTGGTAGTACATCCTGCTTGCCCGGTGGTGTTTTCAGAGCTCTCAAGGTGATTGCTGATGGGTTCTTAAGAGCTTCATCATTATCAAGGCCATAAAGCTCAAGGCTATCTGTTGGTGATTGAGTGAATGGTGGAGGAGGCAATGCAAAGTAAGCCTTGCTTGAATGTCACCACTGTTGATTTGGGCCTTGTCTTTGTCCTTGGAATTGGACCGTTGATCCCAGATTGCTGTGGGACTGTAATGACACGTGACTCGGAGGACCACCACTAGAGTTAGAGCCGTGATAATTCTGAGTTTGGATTGACTGTGGTTGGAAATTACTCATGTTCCCGTGCTCATCCA